CACACACACTCGAAGAGTGAGAGGGAGAGAGATTGCCAAGGAGCTAGGCGAAATTACAAGCGAAATTGGCGCACAAAAGACAACAAACTACAAAGCAAAAAAAAAAAAATGCTACGTGGCCGCAGCGACTAATGCAACAATGCAACAACAACAACAGCAACAGCAACAAGAGCAACAACAACAGAGACGAATTGCTGCAGTTTGTCAAACAAATCAGCGCAACTAATTGATTAGAGCCACATAGTGCTATGAGCGCAGAACGAACCTGCTGCTTGCCACCTTGCAACCTTGCAACGCAAACTGAGTACAGCAATTGCATTTAACGACAGCACACCCAGTGTGGGAAAATGTTTAAACTAAAGAACACAAAAGGCAACTGATCCAACGAAATTAGCTCAAAAGGGTTTTAAATAATTATTTTCTTTTTATTTATATTTTATTCCGAATTTGGTAGAGATTTGATAAATGTATTCAATATTCAATGGACATTTTCTGTCAGCAAATTCGTATCATTAATTCTACACCTGTGAGTCTCAACCAATATCAAATTGATTAACATAGCTTTTTTCTGTGGTAAAATATTCTATTTAGACTATTTGGGTATCAGTCAGCTATTTCACTTATCTAAACAATTTAGCATTTTTGGTAACTTTGAAGTAAATTGATTTTGTGCTAATGCAGCCTAGTGTAATAAAAAGCCCAACAATCGTTGCCTGATGTACAATGGGATTACTGATAATATACATATAGATATATACTCGTATATATGTGTATTCGACAGTTTTTTGCTTAAGATTTAAGTCTGCAGCTCACTCATTGTTAACTTTTCAGAATTCACATTTCAACAATTGCAAACAACGCAATTACTTTAATTGCAGCACTTTCGAGTTATTTTGTGAATGGCTCTTTGCAACAACATTTTGTATGTGCATATGTGTGTCATATCGTCAGCCATAATCGTGTATTGTTATGTTGTTGTTGTTGTTGTTGCTTGGTACTAAACCCACACACACACACACACACACACACAGACACATACACAACACACGCACTTCACCGCAGTAACAAGTAGCACAGCAACAATTGTGTTTTTTTGTGAAATGTTTTAATTTTGTATGTGTTGCATTTAAATAAAAATTAAATTAAATGCACACTTAACAACAACAACACACACAAACAACAACGACAACAACAACAACAACAACAACAACAAGAACAACAACTACAAAATGCCATTTGAAGTTGCAAAATGCGTTGCACTCAAAAGTATGCAACATTTTTTTGTTACCCTCTCACCAGCGTCGAGTGCCGCAGAAACGAGGGTGCTCCTGCTGCTCCAGTGCGAGGAGTGGATCGGTGTGTGTTGAGTGTGTGATTCGGGGTCAAACTGTGTTGGGGTCTGGTCAACAACAACGGCTAGCAATAAAAGCAACAATATATACACATATAAGCTCACACGCAGATATCAGAGAGGTTGAGCGGTGGAGCGGTGGAGCGAACGGGGAGGACTCAGGACTGCTGCCACATTTATGCACAGGAAGCATTTGTAATGCCCCATGGCGACGCGAGACTACACATGTAACAACCCCTCAACCCCTGAACCCCCTTACCTCTTTCCGCTATCCCCTATCCCCTACCCTACATCCATACGTACTCCACTATCCTAACGTGCCTGACCAGCTAAAGTGAAATTTATGCAGTCAATTTGCAACGAATTTGCTATGCTCTAAATCAAGAAGAGTTTAAGAAGTATATCAGATTTCGAAATCTGCACAAAACTATCAGTTATATGTGAGGTGTATCTATCTATCAAGCATAACTCACACAAAGTATATATAAGAAAATCGCTTTCATTGTGTCCCTCAAGTTTCCCTAAATATATTCATTAAAGTAGAAACTTGTGTTTTAAAGCACTTGCAATTGTTTAGAATAGACTTTGCTGCATTAACAGTATTAATCATTCATATTAAAGTAATAAAAGTACATATTCCTATCAAATTTCATGACCCAAGCTCATCTTTAGGCTTAGTTCAATAAGCTTAACAAACACCGAAAACCCACAGCAATGTCTATATTTTTTGTCGGCTTCTTTGTTTTTCTGTGTATACTCTATAAAAAGTGCAGAGCAAAACTTTTTGTGTTTGTCTACGACTTTTTATTTTGTTTGTGGTACGCCCCGTTGCGTGCAACAGCCCCACAGCACAGCACAGCACAGCAGAGCACACCACACCATCCGCCCCGCAGCACCACTGAGCGAGTGGTGTTGCCTGCTTTGGCAGACTGTTTATGGTTTTTGGCTACAACTTAATTTAAATTGTTTAATTCTATTATTGTTGCTAATAAATCACAGGCACAGCTTGCGTTCAACGCTAGCTGGCTTAGCGTTTGCTAAGCTGCCCCCGAAGCACACACACACACATACACATACACACACACACACAGGCACATTTATCTTCTACACACACACACACACATAGATAGAGACAACTGCTGTTGTCGTTGATTTTGGTTGTAAGCTGCTTTCGCACTCATTTGGCCCCCTATTCATGTGGCACGCTCTTCTTCTTTGCCTGCCCTATGAGTGTGTGTATGGTGTGTGTATGTGTGTGTGTGTGTGTGTGAGTGTGTGTGTATTGCCTTGTATATATACGCTATATAAATTACGCTGATCTGGTTGCTTTAGCCGCTGGCAACAGCTTTTGTAGGGCGACTCGTAAATTTGCAGCTTGATTTTGGGTTGATTTGCAAATTCCGATTTTGTTGGTCAGCAGTTGGTTCCAGTTGGGCGTGGCAGTTGCAAACAGGAGCTTAGCTTTTGTAGGCAGTACCAATCGACATTTTTGAGGGATGGAGGGCGGTGCACTCGGTCGATGCTAGAAGCGTTTTGTCGGCTTACCAATTGCCAATGGAAAAAATGAAATCGAAAACGATAATGAAAAAAAAAGAAATCTGAAAACCAAAAATAGGAAGAGAAAAACTTTTTGGCCCGCTCGCAAACCACATGTCAAATGCAGGCCATGCTCCAGGGCCACAGCAGAGAGAGAGAGACAGAGAGAGCGAGAGATAGAGAGAGAGAGAGCAACTCTTGACCAGCTGGCGACCACTTGACATGGCCATAAATAACAAAGCCAAAATGGCGTCCAAAGCACACAAAAATTTGACAAGAGTCAAGAGCGAGCGGGCCAAAAATGTGATATGTCAAATGCACTCTGCCATTCATGATGAAAGAGAGAGAGAGAGAGAGGGAGAGAGAGAGAGAAAGAGAGATTGCGAAAGAGAAAGCTAACTGAAGGACGACCATTTAAGTTGAAAAGTGAAATAAATATAACGCTTGCATCCATAAAACTGTCTCAACTGGCGTCACAAATTCTATAAAAATTACATTTGGCTGCTGACTAATTTCGACTCGAACTCGAATTCTGGGGCAAAGTAATGGGGCAAGTAGTGGGTACCAAAAAAAATAAAAGAAATGAAGTGAAGCAACTGCCAAGAAAACAGCAAATAGGCAATTGAAAAGTGGAATTATTCATTGTAAGACAAATTTCTTGTTTACAGTTGGACTTTGATAGCCACCAAAATAAAAAATTAAAAATTCTTCGAATTTTCCATTTTGTTAGCTAAAACCTAAAAAAAACATTCTTAGTAACCATTATCATGAGTCTACATAAAATATTGAGCACTTTATTTCGGGTCACACAGCTAAGAATTAGTACTTTGATTACTTTGGGCTCCATTGTGGACATGGCTGGTGTTTATAGCTATGCCGTTATGTGTATGCCACAGATATATATGTATATCGACAGTATATAGTGCCAGCTATTTTTCTTTGCAAGCAAAAAATAAGTTGAATTAATTGCTTATTTATTCATTTTTTGTTGTTGTTGTACGCACAATTTAATAAGTGCTTTTCGCTCGTGATGCAACGCAAACATGTCGGCAACTGCATACCGAGTATGCTCTACAAGCACACACACACACACACACACACACACACACACTAACCAAACTGTGTGTGTGCGGTAATTTGAGTCCTTTGTCTTGTAAATCGCAGCCCTGGCAGTTTGTAAAAAAAAGTGCAGCATACTTGCGGGCGGCGAGTAAAAGTCGCCAACGACAAAAATGTGTTGCATATTTACATGGCGGCAGCAGTTTTCCTGTGCCGACGTCGACGTCGCTGCCTGTAGCTGCATTTCCGCTTAATGTTCAGCGATAATAAAATACAAACAACAAAAACAACAACAACAACAACTAACAGTTTGGCTGCTGGGCAACGATAATGAAACAATGAACACACTCTCTCACACACACATATGCATTGATTTATGTTTTTTAATTTAAAATTTCCGCATCACTTAACCGTTAAAAATAATAATAACAATAACAGCAGCAGTCCACCCAAAAAGCAATAACAATGCCTTTTGTGTCAAGTGCTACTCCCAAAAAAAAAATAAAATAAAATAAAAACTATATACATAAAATGTGTACACTCAGAGAAAAAGCTGACGAGCTAAACGCTAGCAGAACAAGTACACATATGCTAAACTTCTAGTATATAGTCAAAAATAGTCATGAACAGCGGCTTGTACTTAAAATTAGTGTTGTTAAACGTTTCGGTTTCCAATTTATGAACTAAAATTTGATTCGTTTTTAGTTGAAGTTGATATAAATCGTGCTTCAATTAGTTCAGTTTAGATTTTTTTTTTGTATTTTTTGAGATTTAAGAAAAAGAAAACGTTTTGCGTTGTCTGATTTCGCTGAGTGTACTATTTACATATAAATATATATGTGTGCTCGACATTTAAATATTGCAATGTGAAGCGAAAAACTTTGAACATGTTTTAATTTCCGTATTACAAGCAGCCTGGGCTGCAGGGCGGCTGCTGATCCCCGCTCCGTCGCCGTCTCTGTCTCTCTCTCTCTCTCTCTCTCTCTCTCTTTTACATTATTCTTATATTTCATTCTCTTCTGACTCTCTCCCTCTCTCTCTCTCTCTCTTGCAGATTGGGCGGCCACCAACAACAGATGCCACAAAGTATGTCAACTGGCAGCAACACAATCGGCCATGGCGGCATCGATCGCGGCGGCATCGGTGTCGGTATGGGCATGCCCATGGGCGCCGGCACGATGCCAATGCCTGGCGGCGGCCAAGGGGTCGGCCCCCAAGTCTCTGTCGGTCCACCGGGCAGCGGGGGAGTTGGCGTCGGTGGCGGCGGCGGCGGAGTTGCCGGTGGTCCGCATTGCCAGATAAGCGGCTCACAGCCATTGGTTATGCCTGGATTCCCGTTGCGTAACTCGCACTCAGCGCATGCACCACATTATTCGCCATATTCACCATCCAGGTAAGCAACAACTCCATTCAACCAACCAACCAAGCAACGAACGAACCAACGAACCGTTCCTCCACTGGGTCAGCAACTAAATGAATACATTCACACCACTCTTTACACTCCATTGAGTGCATCCTTGTCCGTCGCTGCGTATGTGTGTGTGTGTGTGTGTGTGTGTTTGTGTGTGTGGCTTAAAAGTAAATGAGCTCATTTGCCTGCCCTGCCTTCCTGTCTGCTCTGCTCTGCTCTGCTCGGCTTTGAGCTTTGAGCTTGTGTACGCTTATTGTGTGCACTCTCCTCGACCCACATCCTTCGTCCTTTGTACTTCTTGCTCCTTTGCTTCTTGCTGCCCTTTTGCTGTTGTCTTCGGACAGCCTTTTCGCTCTCAGCCTGTTTCTTCTGAAGCTACTTTATTAAAGCTATGCTTCCTGCTCGCTGCTTCTTCTTGCTTCTCTCAATGCTTCTCGCGCTTTTGCTCTTGCTCTTACTCTTATCCTCACAGTTGTCGTTTTCATTTATTTCATGTGTATTTGTATTGGATAAGTGCCGCTTAACTTCTCGCTTCGTGCTCTTTAAATAAGTCGTTCGGCTGCCCTTCTCCACTGCTTCTCGCTTCTGCTTTTGTTTCCTAGTTATCGAGTATAAAGGACTTTATTATTTATATATTTATTATTCATCTTCATTTGCTTCTCTCTGCTTTAATTTAAGTTCCACTTGTTTAGCTTTTATTCCACCACAACAAGTAGGCTCATTAGGGTTCCTAACTGACTCTTTCATCGCTGGCCGCATAGATCTGGCAATTCACATATATATACACGCACACACACACACACACACACACACATGCATGTACACAGTTTTAGTCTTGTTAGCAGTCTACTATGCAAACAGAATCTTTTCTACAAGTTTTATGCAATTAACTAGTGGCAGCTGTGTAACACAGTCAAGTTGTGCATCATTTTGCGTTGCTTTATTAAAAAAGTTGACAGTTGACAAACTCATCTCTTTCCCTGTGTGTGTCTGTGTGTCTGTGTGTGTGTGTGTGTGTGTTTGTTCAAGAGTGTGTGTGTCTTTCGTTGGTTTTTGTGGTCCTTGTGCCATGTCAAGCGACTAAACCAACTTTTTATCTAACTCCAAGCTTGTCCTGCATTCATGTGTAATGCTTCATACACACCTCAGAGATGAGCGTTATTCAGACTGAAGGAGCTGCAACTTTTTTGTGTGGCTGCATTCAAGACTAAAGAAATCGTTTGAAGTGATTTAAAGAGTCGTTCACAGAAGCGAGTCATTTAGATTGCATATTTACTTAGAGAAGGGACTTCAAATTTACCCAAAAGTAATGATTGCAGAGAAGAGAAGCCAGCATTTCTGAGTCATTTGGGGGTAGCCAAATACTTTTGAGTGTGAATCACTGGGAGCCATTTGAAATAGGCGAGTGTCTTAGAGTAGCGAGTGGCGAGATTGAAAGCAGCGAGTGAGTCTCGTTGACGGTTATTGGTAATAGCGAGTAATAGAGTTGCGAGACATTTACAGATAACGAGTGATTGGTTGTGTAACGCTTGACATATTCCAAATTGCGTAGCACCTTAGAATTGTTATGTGTTAGTTTCGGCTATGGGAATCAGAGTCAGAATAAAAATGAAAATGAAAATCGTAGCATTTACTGGTTGGTCACTCTTTCGTTCATCTCTGGAAGTGGAAGTGGGTAGCTTTATCCAATGTGCTTGTGACTTAATAATCAGATTTTCATTTCCATTTTCTGAGCCCCTAAAGCTTCAGACTTTTGCACAACTTTAGTAACATGTTTGCCCCACTCCCTCCTTCTCTCTTTGTCACGTTGCTCTTCTTTCGCCCTTCGTCTCTCGTCACTCGTTGCTCGTCCGTTCTTCTATTTGGCTTCTGTTTGCCAGTTGTTAATTACAAATGCATTGCACAGTTTGTTTAATGCTCGCCATCTTTCCCCCTCTCTTTCACTCACACACTGTACTAACGTTGTCTGTCTCGCTTTGTTTCTTTTACAGGTTTCACATAGATAAACGCTGTCAACACCGATGTTCCTGGAAATGCTTGAGCATCGCCTTAATATTCATATCCGTCGTCCTAACCGCCATGTTGGCATACTTTGCAGGTAAGCGGGAATGAATGAATGAATGTGTGTGTGAGTAAGTGTGTTTGAGTGTTCTCTGTGAGTGTGTGTGTGTGTAAATGAATGTAGAAATGTGTGTGTGTGTGCTGAACAGCAGATGAGTGTGGACAACGCAACCGTTGTTATAACGCCGGCCAGCACACACAAACACACAGTTGATGAAAAGTACACATACACATACCAATGCAAAGAGGTTTTAATAGGAACACACACACCCACACACACACACACACACACACACATGCCAAGTCAAAGAAAGTTGGCGCTTGCTGCCTATGCAAACACAATAAAACCACAACCGCCAAACCACCCCACTCCCCACCGCCATTCGTTCACCCAACACAGATGAAGTTGATTTCATTCAATCGACAGCTGCACACGTTTCGGAAATGCCGATAAAAATCGGTTTCCGATAGCAGTAAAAGACACAATTGTAAAAGCATAGTCTGCCAATTGATATATAACCTAAGCAGACATTTTGTCAGTCAACTATTATGGTTAGGATCTCTCTCTCTCTGTCTCTCTCTCTCTCTCAACTAGTGCATTTTAGTCTCTTGAACTCTGCTTACTTCACACAAACTTAATTATTAGTTTGCTTTTAAGCTAGTCTAAGTCTAAAGTTGTGTTTCTATATGTATGTATAGATGAGGAGACAAAGCAAATAGAGAAGCATAGTTCGTATTTAGTCTTTGATATATTATATTCCATTTCATTAGAGAACCATTAACTTTGTCTACGTTTCCTCTATTCAGATAAGCGCCCTTCCCCCCTCGTTCGGAATGTAAATGAATTTCTATTTTGTGCTCCAGTTTTGTTTATCTTTTGCGAGTAATTTTGCTCAAATTATGCTTAGTCTAACTTTTGCTTAATCTAATTAAAGCAGGTTGCCTCCTCGAAATTTTCAATGCCAACTGAGCAACATAGCCTATACCTTAGGGGTAGCCAGTTAGGGTAGCTATGGTGGGGGGTGGAAAGGGTTTTCAAACTATCTCTCTCTCTCTCTCTGTCTGTCTGTTTGTCTTAGTGTATCTCTTGAACTCAAACTTCTCACTCTCGAGCTTTTTTCGCTCATTAGCTGACAATGGCAAATTAACAAAATTTTGAAACGCCAGCGCCTTAAAGCAAGCAAACACACACATAATCATACACACACACACACACACACACCTTGACACACACACACACACACACATATACACACACAGAGCCACTGGTTATACAAAAATGGCGACAGAGCACAAAATGCTGCTCTTAAAATTGAATGCGGCAGCTGGAAACTCGTTTTTCCCTCTGCCTTTTGTCTCGGTTTGTTGTTTTTTTTGTTGTTGTTTTTGTTGTTTCTGTTGTTGTTGTTTACAACTTGATAATTAAACACGTTTCGTGTTGTTGTTGCTGTTTTTGCTGCCACCTTTTAAATTATATTTACAGGTCAATTTGATTTTTTACTGCCAACCTTTTTGGCAAACGGAGTAACTTTTCTCCTACATCTCTCTCTCTCTCTCTCTCTGTCTCTCGCTCTCTCTCTGTCTCTTTCTGTGTCGCTCTCTGTCTCTCTATGTCTGGCTTTAGACTAAGTGTGTCTCGTTGCAGCATTTTTGCTTGTGTTGTTGTTGTTGGGCAGTTGCCGTGCAAGAAGAGCGCTTCGCAAAACTTTGCACATTAAAATATGTAAATTTTAATTTGAAACAAAAGGGTTGACGTGCTGCTGCCAACTCCCCCCTTACCGGCTGCCCTTCCCCCGTTCTTGTTCTTCTTGCTTCCGATACCCCTTTTAAGGCGACGCCTTTTGTGCCCTGGCATTTTATCTAGTGAAACATTGACGCAACTTTTCTCTCCTTTTTTTTCTTCTTATTTTGAGTTGGACACTTTCAATGAGGTGCAGAGGAGGGGAGCGGGGGATGTGTTTCAGTTGCAGCGCTGCCCACTCGCAGCGCATTTAATTTATGCGCCCCAAAATAAATATATATATTTTTGTATTTCAAAGAAAAGGGTTTTCATTTGAAGCAACTGCTCTGATCTAAACTGAGCCTCCATTGATATTCATTAAGGTGTTTTTATCTCAGCGCATAAGTTTCAAAACAAAGGCCAACAGTAACTGATTTCGATGATAGACTTGATAGACTTGAAATTTGTGTATTTGCTGATTTCATATGTGTACTGAATAAAGTATTAATATATATACAGCAAATATATAGATTAAATATGCAATTTGTGGACTAAGCTTCGAAAAATATAATTCTTAGATAGATCAGTTGTTTCTTCTTGTTTCTAAACATTTGTTGATTATTTCACGATTTTTTTGTATAACCTTGTCGTGAAGTTTGAAACGTTTTGAAGCCTTATATATATTCTTTGGCAGCATAAACAGTCCAATTGATAGAGCCATGCATGCTGGAAGTTTGGAGACAAACGGATCGTATAACATATCCTGACATAGACAAAATCTGTATGAAACATTTTTGTGTTTATCGGAGTATCTGAAACAAATTTTTCAGTTGCGATAGCTATTATTCTCTTAACATTACTGCATTATTGCAGCAATTTTTTTTTTAAATTTATACTGAAAATTAGTTGATAAATGTTTTGATTATTTTCATCGCCATCGTCGTCTGCCAGAATATTGACATTTTTTCCACTTTAAATAGCTGTTCGTGTTTATTTCAAATATTTATCGATAATTTAATTTGCTTTATTTTTCAACCACATTCAGCATTCTACAAACGGTTGGCAATTTTACAAAAATTTCTTTTTTACAACTCAATGCTGAGTTGGCTTTTTGTATCAACTGAATTTCACATGCAGCTCGTGACAATCGAACGTTATCTTCAAACCCACCACCCTCCCTCCCCTGCCTCCGCCTATTACCCTACATATATATTCCTCCTTTCAAATACATAGCTGCTTACTCATTTTTGGGTAGGGAGACTGGGCTGTGGGTGTGGGTGTGGGTGTTTTTGGAGGGAAAGGGGGGCGGGCACAGCCATTTGACTTGAAGCGTGCTGCGTTTAATTTATTATCTACGCTCTTAGCAGCAACCAAAATAACAGCAGCTGCTGCCTCACGAGTCACAGGCACTGATTTACAACAGCAACAACAACAACAACAACAAGTTGAAGAAGTAGAAGAAGAGCTAGAGTTGCGGCTTCCTGGCTGCTTTTGGTAGCCACACCACCCTGCCACCAACTGAGCTGCTGTGGTGTCACAACGATGCAAGTGAACGAAAACAAATTTACAACAAACCACGAGAAAAATGTGTGATGCCACTTGGCTGCCTGGCTCAAAACCGAACCCCCCCTTAACAACAACCACACCCCCCTACCCTGCCCGCACCCAGCCCGCACCCTGCACACCCCCTATCACTGCCAGGTCCTGCACGTCTTTGGGCAGGCACTTTACTTTAGCGCTTTGGCGCACAAAATGAATTTAAGTTAAAAAGTTGTGAACATTTTGTGTGGGGTGTTCGACACACACTGTGTGTGTGTGTGTGTGTGTGTGTGTGTGTGTGTGTGTGTGTGTGTTTGTGTGAGTGTTGGTTGGGTGTGCCAAAAGCTGCGTGTGGATTTCACTGATTTAATTGTTTGCCAGTCAATCTGTGCGAAAGAGATAGCAAGCGAGCGAGAGACATGCTTGAAATTTATCTTTTAAAAATAATGTATTAATTTTTGTGGCTACCCTCGCACTAGCGTCTCCCTGTGTCTGTGTGTGTGTATATATAAGAAAAGCTGTAGATACTGTAGGGGAGGGGAGGAGTTTGGAGTATCCATGAACTCATTTGTGTAAAAAGCTTTTTGTGTTGTGTGTTTGGCTGCCGGCTTCGCTTCGTTGCGGTAAATGAATTTACGCTTCGCTTTACGTATGTATATGTGTGCGTGTGTGTGTGTGTGTGTGTGTGTGTGTGTGTGTAAGTGTGGCTCGTTTTATGGTTGAATAGTTTTAAAGCTGCGGGGTTAAGACAGCAACAGAAGCAACAGAAGCAGCAGCAGCAGGTGATGAAAACAACAGCAGTCGGCTGCGCTTTAGCTTTTAATAGTGGCTAATATTTTTGCAGCTGCTACACTCAACCGACCCACAACGCACCACTTGTCTGACTCCTTGTGTGTGTGTGTGTGTGTGTGTGTATGTGTGTGGGTGTTCGACGTCTGTTTGCGCAATCATTTTCTATTAATTAAGCGCAAGAGGGTTTAATAAAATTAGCAAACACTTGCAGGCCACAGCAGCTGTCTGTTGTTTCTCTCTCTCTCTCTCTGTCTGTTTGTGTGTGTGTGTGTGGGTGTTGCCAGACATTTAAAAATATGTATGGATATGCCTGTTACATACACACACAAGCACACACACACATAATCACACACGCACCACACTCACATCACTCACTTGCCATTGTCAGTTAATTAACAAGCGCAAACACAACCAGCTGAAGTTGAATGTGAGGTATGGGTGTTTTTATGTGTGTGTGTGTGTGTGTGTGTGTGTGTGTGTGTGTGTGTGTGTGTCTGTATGTGTTGCCTTTAATTTAATTTGCATTTGGTTTGTTTTCAACGCTTGCATATTTATGCAATTGTGAAAGTTGTTTCGATAATTCAATGAAAATTACGGCAGAAATGTGTTGCCTACTTTTGTGGGCAGCGAGATCAAGCGGAATCCAAAGGCCATGAAATTGTTGCCTACCTTTATGGGCACTATTTTAAAATATGCAAATTTGGCAAATGCAAATGGCTACTCACATAATGTGTGGGGCTTAGAGAGTGCCACACACCTCACACACACCTCACACACACAGACACACACATTCACACAGCGAACAGCAATTCATTGTGCACAAAACATTTGGGCTGGAAAAAAGTATTGCCTGCTTTTCAGGGCAAATGCAGAGCTGCAAATATTGCATTTTAAGCAGGCAATGAGTACTAATGAAGAGCGAGCAACACAGCGGAAGAGATAGGTGCGCAGAGGGAGGGAGATGGAGAGGGAGAGAGAGACGAAAG